GGAAGTCAGACGGGAAGTCAGACGGGAAGTCAGACGGGAAGTCAGACGGGAAGTCAGACGGGAAGACAGACGGGAAGACAGACGGGAAGACAGACGGGAAGACAGACGTGCGTGTGTGTGATGACTCACTGAGAGCAGCTGATGGAGGAGGAAGCTTCGGACCAAACTCTTCTTCTTCTTCTTTTACTTGAGTGGAGTTCTGAGATGAAACTGAAACTTTGAAAGAAACGGAAAGAATCAAAACACGTACATACACGCGTGCGTACGTACGTACAAAACCAGTGAAGGCTGACAGAGAGGAATGCTAGAATTAGTTGTTGTAGCCACTGTAACCGTTTCATTGAATTGAAATTGTTGTATGTGAATCTTGTGTGAAAACCAGAAATAAAAACACAGCCTTACATTTAGTAAGAGACTGAAACCAAAACAGTGTTCTGGTCCATTAGAACAATGTACCCCTCTTCCCCTGTCCGTTAATGGTGCGATAAGATGTGACGACTGAAACATGCAGAGGAGCTTAAGGTGAGTTCTCTGGGTGAAGACTTGGCAGTGTTAGTCATAAATGGTGAGAATGTTCACAATAGGCGATAGTAAAGTACAGACGATGTACATAACTATTACATACAGGGTGTTAGGGTTACATCCCATTGAGAGCGCCTAGGGCATTAGCCCTAAAAGACTTTCAAGAAGACAATTAATTCCGAAATCCTAACAATTTAGCTACGGGGTGAGATAAAAGGCCAAAGGTATTGTTCTGAGACCTCAAGGAGGAACGCATATCCTCGCAGGTGGGACAGCCGACGGAGTAACCACCGTGTTAGGTGCGAACTACTTCCCCGCCTAGAAACGGGGCAGGAGCCGCTCACGCTGCAATGTGTTGCTGTTACCTTTCTGCTGGCTGGATGAGGTGACAGAGGAGGGTAAGGAGGAGGAGCTGATGCTGAAGAGGTTCTGCGGTTGTGGGAGGACCTGGTCCTCTTTTGTGTCCTTCACCTCCTCCTCCTCGTCGCTCTCTCCCTCTGATGAAGAAGAGGACTTGTCATCAGAGGAGCTGTTGAAGATGGCCTTGAAAAGATCCATAGGAGGCCTGCTCTCCTCCTCCTCCTCCTCCTCATTGTCCTCAGTTTTAATCTGTATGAAGAGGAAACACATGAAGCTTCCTGGTTCCTGCTCTCCAGAGGTTCAACCCTCCACAGTTTAACACGTTACCTTGATGACAGAGTCAGCAGTCTGCTGCTTGGTGCTGCTGGAGGAGGAGGAGGTTCGCTCCTCTTTGATCTCAGTTTGGTTTCTCGCAGCAACGAGGAGTTCACTCAGAGGGTCCTCCTTCTTGTTCTCCTCCTCCTCCTTCTTCTGGTATGAAACGTCCCATCTGGACCTCTTACCAGAGTCTATAGGAGGAGGAGGAGCTGAAAGGGAGGAGGAGGAGGAAGAGGAAGGGGAGGGGAAGACGAGGAGGAAGAAGACGAGGAGGAAGAAGAGGAGAAAGAGAAGAAAGAGGAGGAGGAAGAGGAGGATGACAAGATGACAGAAAAATAGCAATTATTATAATCTATAAAAATTATAATACAGAATGTGTTGTAGACCACCAGGGCGTCGTGGTGTATTGATGTGTGTATATATACACATATACATATATACACATACATATACACATATACACACACATATACACACATACATGCATATATACATACATACATACTGTATATACATACATACATACATACATACTGTATATACATACATACATATATACTGTATATACATACATACATATATATATATATATATATATATATATAT